AATCTACTCTGGCCTGCAGGTGGACTTTTCTTACCTTACACATATTGATAAGCGAAACCCCAGCAGGCCAGGATGCGGCTTAGCGTGATGACTGAACTCGGCTGCTCAAGTCTGGTGACCATCCATCCTCAGGGATCAGACAACCCCTGAGCCTGAATTAACAAGCCACAACTTCTCTCTTCAAATAATGTACAGACAAGCCGAATGATAGCTTCACGTTATGATGAGCGTTACACAACCTGCTAAGATATTGGCTGGATTTGTCTAAAATATTGACAGCCCCTCCCCCCCCATCCTGTTCTGTGAATCCAGCCAGAATGTAAAATACTACTAGGTGGAAGGGATGCTTACACCTTACTGGACCACCAGGAGGTTGTGAATGACGGGTTTTGTCCTTCCACTCATAGATCAAAGGGGTAAGCAGTGAGAACCCCTGGTTGCTGGGGCCATGCCTGTCCCCCCTTTAATTGCTTCCTTTGTCCAGTAGGGGTCAGTAGTGGCTTCGTGGGGTTGGGGTCAGAGAGATTTTTAATACAGCTACTCCTTGTTTAGTGACTGTTCACAGTTACAAAAGTGATGAAAAAGTAATTTTACGACCAATCCTCACATTGATGATCTTGGCAGGTCTGTAAAGCAAAGGAAAGCTGAAGGAAGATTGTAAGTACAGTCATAGTTTCATGTAGCGACTGCTTCTCTTAACGACCAAATTGCTGAGCCCAATTGTGGTCACTAAATGAGGACTACTTGTAACTTTTATGTACGCAGGTTCAAGCAGGTGGAACCAACTCTTGCCAGACTTGGCTGATCTTGAAAAGACTAAGCCTGCTTGGACCTGATGGAGGGGAGACTACCAGGATATCCCAGGACTGAAGGCTCAACTAAGCAGTTGAAAAATATCCCTGGAGAGATCAGTGGCAAACCATTTCCAGGGTGTTCATAAAGTCACCAGGAGATGAAACTGACCTTACTTTTTTACTGACCTTACTGACCCCCTTGCTGCTGGTGGTCCTCATCTTCTCTTCCACTTTTCCAGAGAGCTAGGTCTATGCATAATGCGTCCTCCAAGATACGATAATTTTACCCTGGTAATTTGTGCCTCAAGTGAGAACTCTGGGTTGGTTTGTTTGATGATCCACTGGTTTGTTTTCTTGGCTGTCCATGGTATTCTCAGGAGTTTTCTCCGACACCAAAGTTCAGAAGTGTCAATACTCTTCACCTCCTGCTTCTTCAAAGACCAACTTTCGCTTCCATAGAGCATCACAGGGAATACCATGGCTACAGCGGTCAACTTTCACACCACTGGAAATACCCTTCCAAGATCTCCTTCTGCGTTGCCCTTTTGCCTTAGCAATGCAGCAAGAGGCCCAGTGTCTTCATTTGCTTAGTTTATCTTGGGGTACGGTGATGAAGTGTTCAAGTGGCACCGGGTGGTCTTCTCTCTGGTTCTCATAGAATTGCAGAATCCCAGAATGGGGAAACTTTGAAGTTCTACCTCTGCTCTGTGCAGAACAAATTCAACCGTCCCTGGCAGATGGCTGTCTAGCCTCTATTTGAACACATCCAATGAAGCGGGGTCTGCTATCGCTGGTCCATCAGTTCCACTTCCTGTTAGGAAGCTTTCCAAACACTCAATTGGAATCTCCCTTCCTGTAACTTAAATCCATTATGCCATGTCCAAGTTCCAAAGATCCAGGAGGCTTGGAGGCTGAGATGTTGTAATACTTATATTGGTGTATTTCTCTAGTTCTTCAATCTCAGCAACTTTAAGACGTGTGGACCCAGCATGCTGTCTGGGGAATTCTGGGAGTTGAAGTCTACACATCTTAAAGTTGCTGAGGTTGAGAAACACTAGTCTAACATAATCCATTTTTCCAGTATTTATATCTGTAATATACTTTGATTTTCATATTTTAATTTTGATATTTTTTAACCTGATTTATAAATATTGCATATGGACACCCCCTGTGGTTGGAGTGGCAGATAAACCCAATGCATGCATGCATACATACATACATTTCCAACGCCCTGACCATTGTGGCCCTTCTTTGAACCCAATCAAATTTCCAATTTCTCTGAATTCTTTTTAAAGTGTAACTTCCTTAAATGTATACTTGATTAAAGCAGAATAAAGAATCAAGATTTTAATATCAGAGATCTTTTTATGGGCATAACAATATGGGCATGTAGGCCAAGAACTAGATTAGGCTCAAATGGGGTTGGACAATTTGTGTCTCGTTGTGTTGTGGGAATCTAGCTATTGCCTTTGCAGGTTGTTTAGGTTAAACAATAATTTGCTGTATTTGTCTGGGGGAGCACAGCATGTTCCGTGAATACAACAATTATGGTTTTTGACCTGGATTTAGGTTTTGACTGTCAAGCAAACTCAGCCATTGTCTGTGTGTACACAACATACTTTAACTGATCTGCTGAAATGAGTTGTGCAAACACAGCCAGACACTTAGTGAAGAAATGCTACTTACCTTCTAGTTGCTAGCAGATGTTCTTGCTACTGTGCCTCTGTGAGTGGTGTTTCCTGGACGCACACTAACTTTTGCACCACAGAAAAAGGAGTCTGTGGTTCTCCTTTAGCCAAGAAATATTTAATACATTTCCTGAGATGCAGTTGGGTGGCAAATCATTATGGGATTTGAAGAACTCGCAGGGTTGGCCTGGGTCAAGCATACATCTGTCGCTTTGACACCTGCCCCCTGCCCCACAGATTAACACACAAAACTGGTCAAACAATAAAATGCACAAACCCTGTTATGGCTTAACATAGGTTTGTTTGAAACGGGGTTCTGTAGGGTGTGGTCAAAAAACTCAAGATGGCTACAATAGTGTATGTGATGTCCACTTTTGACCACACTGTGTGGACACCCCTGGCTTGCAATAACACGCCAGAACAAGGGTTGGTTTCCTGCATTGCACCAAATTACAAGGAAATCATATACGTAAGCTAGTTGAACATGAGCCATGAGGGATCCAGCTCCTCCATGACCCATGCAATCACCTAACGAAGGGTCTTGCCTTTGCTTTGTCTTAATTCTGGGCTTTTAATTCGATCGATGTATCGCTCCTTCGTTGGCAAAGCACGTGAAAGGCCAGCTCTACCCTGTTCTCCCAGAGCCCCATGTCCAAAACTAATCTGGGCATCACTCCAAACTAGCTTTTCCTTTTAAATGGAAACATCTGTGTTTGGCTTATATAGAAAATATTGTCCACTTAAATGCAAATATGTATAATTCTCTACATCGTGGGGGGGGGGTGTCCTGTACAGCCCCTAATGCTTGCCCGTGTGTCCCCTCGCCCCCCCGAGATGGCTCTTCAATTGATTTCGTTAATTCAGGGATGCAGTTTGCCACCTAAGATTGATGCCAGTGTTGAGCAGCCTGACTTGTTGCCAACTTCCAACATCATTACCTTTAAGTAGAACGATGGTGGGTATGATCATCCGGCTGTTTACAAATCCTTGGTTCTAACTCTGTCTGCTTTGGGGACAGAGCTCCATGCTCCAACATGGCTTCCAAGTATGTTAAGTGTTCACACGACCCACTGGTTACCAGATTAACCCATTTTCTGGGTTTGCACATTAGTTTGTACCCTGAACCAGTCACACAGGCTGGGTTCACAAAAGATACTCAACAGCAATGTAAGCAAATCAAGCTTAGGATGTTGAGCAAATCGTTTGCAACTCACCCAGTGAAATGAGTTGTGGCCTTCAAGCTGAACCTGGTTTGAGTTGGCGTCCATGCGCAGGGAGAGGATCCCAAGAGAGGATCCCCAAAACTCCAAAATGGCAAGCTGTGGGAGATCTTCTGTTTCCAGGAAAGTAGAGAAGATGTTTTGCTAATGCAGGGCTGTGAGCCACATTTGACTTTTTTTTTATAATAGCTTTATTAAATTTTAAAAAACAGAAAGATAAAAACTGACAAAAACTAATAAGAAACAGAATAGAAAAAAAAGAATAAAGAGAAAGAAAGCAAAAGTGCAGAAAAGTAAAGAAAAAAAAAGAAACACAAAGACAGCAGATATAAGTGAAGCATACATTAAACTCTTACTCTAAGATTCAACTGAACATCAATTTTTTCCTATAATCTATAATTTTACTAAACTTCAAATCCATATATCATATGTTTTCTGTTTCCTGAAAAAAGTCCAAAAGGGGCTTCCAATTAGCATTAAAATTAGCCAATTTTTCTCTAATCAAAGCTGTCAATTTCACTTTCTCAGCCAGCTCCATCAACTTTACCATCCATTCTTCCATCGTAGGTAATATAGATTCTTTCCACCTTTGAGCATATAAAAGTCTTGATGCAGAGGTCCATGAGATATTTCCAATTGTTTATCCATCAGCCCCAAAAGAAATGTCTCTGGTTTTGATTGTATATTAATTTTCAAAATCTTCTGAATTAATATATGGATTTGAGCCCAAAATTGGCCAGCTTTTGAGTGGCGTTCTGGGACTGCGCTCCAAACCTTAGGGCTGAGCCAAAGAAATGGACAGGACAAAAAATAAATGTAATTTAATTTACATTTAAGGCTAATTAAAGGCAATTTATGGGCAGTTAATAAGATTACATCCCATTTTTAGTAATATAATTTGGCAGCAATGTTTGGAAAGTCTCTGGGACCCACCCCAAAGACTTTCAGGGCCCCCCGTGGTCCTCAGGTCTGAGATGGTGATCCTCGCACTTTGATATATCATATTCCATTCTCTTTATTCTTCTTCTGCGTGTTTTGAGGAGGGGGGCACAGTATATTCACATGTTCATGCAATTAGCATATGCAGGAATTCCATATGGGAGCTGGAGCTAGGCATGTTGGGAGTCGCACCCTGAATACAATTGGGGGGCCCTGAGGTGGGAAGGGTTACCTTGCAAAGGGGAGATTTGAGTTGTGCAGGTTATGCCTGCTGGCCGCTTTGCAGATTTTGACATTTGTACTTCCTTTTCCTGCTGTCTTTGTGAGTCAGGAAATGGGCTGATGTTTGTTGAGATATGGGAAGTACTCAAAGAAGCAAAGAACTCAAAGAGTAAACCAAACACGGGAGAATCAGGATGCATCTGAAGACTTTCTTACTAAAGTGCTTGATCAAGGCGTAACCAGACCAGGATTGACTCCAAGTCCTCACTGACACCAGGTCCTAATGTCCTTCCTTCTCTTTTGGGTGAGGGTAAGTTGAGTGTTGACTTGTACAAACAGTCGTGCAAGTATCAATATGGATTCTAATATTAAAAAAAACGAGACTAGCAAAGTGGTCTTGAATAGGGTGACTGACTGTGAGTCCATGTGTGCTGGGTTCAGTGGAACCCCCAAAGAAAAGGGTGAGACGGGATATGCAACGATCAATTTAACGCTTTTCCATGTGCACGGAGGCACAACCCAGATTTTTTGTGTTCTATTGTCTGAAGTGCAGTGTGTCTCTGTCTTGGTAGCGGATGTTTTTTAATGCGTTAAAATAATAGCCAGAGCAGCTTTCTCCAATCGCAAGCTGGCCAGATGTGTTGGACTGAGATCCCCATCATCCTCAGGCAGCATAGTCAGTGGCTGCGCTAATTGGACATCAGAAAATTTTTACTCAGTTTTCACAAGAAAGCAAAGCATATTGTGGGATTCTGTTGGTTTATGCCATAATGTTGATGAAGATTCTCAGTCATCCCGGTGGAATTATCTGGAGATTGAGTCATGGCAACTGGACTTCTTTTCTTCTGGTTTCATACATTGCGCTGCTTGTCCAAGCAGCTTCTTCAGTCTGCTTCTTCAGTCCAGTTGCCATGACTCAACCTCCAGATTTACACCATAATGCAATTCCTTTGATTTGGACTTAGCATGTTGCGTGAACCATGTTTATGGCTTAGCCTAGTGATTTTGAGTCAGCCAAGAACTAGACTGGTATGAAATTTTCTGCCTCCATTGCCACTCCCCATCCTACCTCCCTTGCCTCTGCTCCTCTCTGGACTCCTGACCTGGACATGGTAGTAAATAGCAGCTCTCCTGTGCTCCTTTTTTTTTTAAACGTAATTTTTATTGAAGAATTTTTTTAACATGATAAAAACTACACAAATATTAGAAAAGAAACAAAATAAGAAAGAATAGTAAGAAAGAAAATAGAAAATAGAAAAAAGAAAAAGAAAGAGAAAGAGAGAAAGAAAGAAAGAAAGAAAGAAAGAAAGAAAGAAAGAAAGAAAGAAAGAAAGAAAG